GACGTATCCAAAGTGTTTTTCTGGGAGGAACTGGCCAATATGATAGGGGAATGGGACATTCCATGGGTTCTAGGGGGAGACTTTAAAACTATTAGATTCTCGTATGAGAGATTAGGGTGTAGTATGATTTCAAGGGCCATAGAGGAGTTCTCCAACTTCATCAATGATCACTTTCTCATTGATCTTCCTCTATCAGGGGAAAGGTTTACTTGGTCCAGGGTGGAGGATTCCAATTTAAGGTCTAGACTTGATAGATTTCTGATATCACCCTCCTCGGATGAGCTGGTGCTGAATGTGCTGCAAATTCCTTACCTAGTCTGACTTCAGATCATTTGCCTATCTTGCTAGATGGATGCAGAGAGAGGGGGTGCGTGCTCCCTTCCGATTCGAGAATATGTGGTTGAAGGTGCTAGGATTTGGTGACAAGGTGAATGATGGTGGACAAGCTACGGGGTATCAGGGACACCTTCATTCCATCTTTCGAAAAAACTTAAATTGTTCAATGAAGATATTATTAGGTGGAATAAGGAGGTTTTTGGGAGGGTAGATGTTAAAATAAGGGAGCTTATGAATGAATTGGGGGATCTAGAGAGAGAAGGGAAGGGGTGAGAGAGTTAGATGAATATGAGAAAGCGAGACTAGGGAGGTTAAGAGGGAAATAGTCGAGTTAGCAATAGCTCAGGAGACTAGTTGGCGGTAAAATTTGAGGGCGCTATAGTTAAAAGAGGGGGATTCGAATACCAATTTTTTTCACCGGGTGGCAGTTGCAAATCGAAGGAGAAATTTCATAGAGTCTTTTTGTGGATGGGGTGAGGATTGAGGGAAAGGAGGAGGTAAAGGAGCGATAGTGGGGTTTTATGAGAACTTATACAAAGAGGAAGTTAGTTGGAGGCTGATTTTGGGGGGAACAGAGTTCAACCACATAGGGGAGGGAGACAGTGAGTCGATAGAAAGGGCTTTCGAGGAGGAGGAGGTACACAAAGTTGTGTCGAGTTGTGCTGATGATAAGGCCCCCGGCCTTGATAGTTTCTCCTTGGCCTTCTTCCATCTCTGTTGGGACACCATCAAGGGGGCGGTGATGGAAGCCATTGAATAGTTCCATGTGAATGGTGTTTTCGAGAGAAGTATCAATGTTTCTTTTATTACTATTGTGCCTAAGAAAGAAGGTGCATCTTGTATTAGTGACTACAGGCCTATTAGTCTCGTGGGGAGCATTTACAAGATTATTTCTAAAGTGCTTTCCAACAGACTCAAGAAGGTTTTTGATGTGTCTGTTTCGTCCTCCCATAATGCATTTGTGGAAGGTATGCGTTTGTGGAAGGTAGGCAGATCTTGGATGCAACTTTGATGGCAAATGAACTTGTAGACCCCAGAAGGAAAAATAGAGATCTTGGCTTACTATGCAAGTTGGACCTTGAGAAGGCTTTCGACCATGTCAATTGGGAGTTCCTGGATTTCATTATGATGCGGATGAGGTTTGGGGCAAGATGGAGGGGATGGATCAAGTTATGTATTTCCTTAGTTAGATTATCTGTCCTGGTTAATAGTAGCCCACGTGGTTTCTTTGACAGCTCCAGGGGTCTCAGGCAAGGAGGCCCGCTATCCCCCATACTATTCATTCTAGTGATGGATGCTTTGAGTAAAATGATGGATCGTGCGGCGGGCGAAGACTTCTTGAGAGGATTCTCAGCTCCGATTGGGGTGTCTAGTGCCCAAAGAGTCTCTTATTTGCTTTTTGCGGATGACACCCTGATTTTTTGTGATCCCGATATGGATTAGTTGACCTACCTGAAGCAGTCCTGCAGTGGTTTCAGATGTTATCAGGTCTCAAAGTCAACCTCGGCAAGTGTGAGATTTTCCTAGTGGGTAAGGTTGCTAAAATTGATGCTTTGTCTTATGTTATCAAATGTAAGGTGGACTCCTTTCCTACTACTTACCTGTGTCTCACATTGGGCACTTCGCATAAGGATAGTACGGTTTGGAATCCAGTGATCAAAAGGGTTGAAAAAAGATTAGCAGGCTGACAGAAACGGTACTTGTCAAAGGGTGGAAAGGAAGTGCTCATTAAAAGCACTTTATCGAGTATACCCACCTATTACTTGTCCTTGTTGCAAGCTCATGTGAGCATCACGGAAAAACTAGAGCGACTACGAAGGAATTTTCTTTCGGATGCAACGAATGGAACTAGAAAGTATGATCTAGTGAATTGGCAGACAGTCAATTTTCCAAAGAAGTGGGGTGGACTTAGAGTAAAAGATCTTAGAGTATTCAACAGAGCTTTGCTGGGGAAATAACTGTGGAGATTCGGGGTAAAAGAGCATACTCTATGGAGGGAGGTCATAGAAAAGTACGATTCCACAGGAGGGGGTTGGAGGACCAAGGCAATCACAACACCTTTCGGGTGTGGCATGTGGAGGAGCATCCTTCCGTGGAAACATCTCTCACATGGAAGGGGAATCAACTTTTGGAATCATATGTGGTATGAAGAGGATACTCTGAGGGTCTCCTTCCCCACGTCTTTGAAATTTCAAACCAGAAGGAATTGATGGTCCAACAAATTCGTAAGGAGCATGAAGGGGGGGGGGGTTAGTATGAGACCTCTCATTTAGAAGGAACATGCAAGATTAGGAGANGGGGGGGGGGGGGGTAGTATGAGACCTCTCATTTAGAAGGAACATGCAAGATTGAGAGATTGCAGAGCTCTAAGATTTATTGACACTACTATATGGGCAAGACAGGCACCAACCATCTTGTGATTCTTGGAGATAGGGTTTGCTTGGCGATGGTCTGTTCATCGTAAAGTCCTCTTACTAGAATATGTTGGTGAGAGATGAGGCCTCTTTTCCATACTCCTTGATCTAGATTCCTAAGGCGTCCACGAAGGTGTGCTTTTTTGCATGGCTAGCGGCGAGGGGAGTGATTTTGACTGCTGATAATCTGAGAAAGAGAGGAATTACACTTGTTAGTTAGTGCTATATGTGTAAAAGCTCAGGGGAAGATGTTGATCATCTTTTGTTGCATTGCCCTGTGTCCTCGGCTTTGTGGAGGGCGATCTTGAACCTTTATGGTGTTCAATTGGGTGAATAGCTCTATCTACTCTTTTCTTATTACCTTTTAATATGGTAGTTTAGACTCAACCTGCCTCAATTTGTTATAGGTTGATGCTTTATGTGCTTCATATCTCTATTTGTTTTTGGTTTAATACAAGAAGGATAAATTTCTCTCCAGATTTGATGCCATCATACTGGTGGTATCTACTTTTTCTACTAGACTGACTTGTGTTCACTTGACTTTATTTCAGACAAGATAGAAATGAGGTTTGGTGGCTTAGTCAGTACATCTAATATCGTGAAAGAGAACATAGTAACAGTGCAATCTGAATCTGACCTCCTATGGACGATTTTTATAAAAAAAGAATGAAGGATGCAGCTTACAAATGACACAAATGAAGAGCCAAATTTTGCTAGATGAATCGTGGGTGCTGACCTCTATTTTCTGTTCAATTCTTTCCAGATAAAGAAGTTTCACAGAGTTTGAAAATTGTTGGGGTTCTTATTTTTTTTGGGAATATAGTATCTCTCCAGTCCGATTGTGTGTTGGCACACAACAGATTTCTTTGGCGTTAAGTGCTTGTATTGCAATAGTCTTGGGGAAACAAACAACATGGGTTCTTACGAGTAAAGAGTACTTATGGGGGGTTAACTTTGATTATCAACTTCTGTTTATGTGCTTGATTCATTAAACGCATTTGGTCCAACAGTTCTCTAATCTTTTGTATACATAACTCTTTTACCATTATAATGAAACATGGAGAAGTATATTTTTTATTTTGCGGTGATACACTGACATGTCTGCAGTTGGTAAATACGGAAGATTGCAATATAAATGAGAGAAAGGGTTCGCACGTTCAATTGCTCGTAGAAAGGGGATTGTTTGAAAATTGTTCCTAATGGTGTTTAATTCTCGGGCACCAACATTCATCATGCTTAAGAGGAACTACCAAATATTTGCTACTTAAAAATTAGAATGACCAAAAGATGGTAGACGATTTCGTTTTAGAAAATGTAATGGTGAAATCATATTCGAATCTGATTCCGCGAAAGGTAGAGTACCAGCTCGTGTCTCTCTTTAAGGTGTTATGCGTTTATATGCACCGATAACATATATAGTATATCTCTCTGTCTTCGCCATGAGAAGGAAAGATAACAAAGATTAAAAGGCACCAAGTGTGTGCGTAAATCAAGCATTTTAACCGAATGACAAGTTGAAGCGCAAATACACATCTGACAAACTTTGCTGCTCCTTTGAACCTTGCTACTTTACTATAGTTTTCTAAAATTAAATGAAAATATATCACTTGCACTTGAAACATATCTATGTTTAATATACAAAGACACGTCTATATTTTTGAGTAAACTTTTTTCGATTAAGACCAATACAATTTCTTTTGGAAAACACCAAAGTCCAAATGATATCGAGTAATGAATAATAATCTACTACTCGTGCAATAATAACACTTGATTTCGCGATTCAGTAGAGGAATGGACTATGAAAAAGAAAAAAAATTATTTTTTCCAACTTTGAGTTCCAAGTTAAAAATTCAACTAAAATATATATAGTGGCGTCACCCGGACTTGAACAGGAGACCTTTGTGTTAGATTGACATCATAACCAACTACACCACGACAGGATTGCCTTACCTCTTTTCAATATATTTTATATCTCGGACAGGTTCTCTTTTGGCGGCAAATATTCTGAACAGTAATCAAATTGAAACCATAGGGTTTTGTTGCTTGGTTTGATTTCTGGTCCTTGGNGCCTTTAATCTGCATTATCTACTTGCCTTTGGCTACTGATTTCTTAGGAAGAATTTAATTGTAATTCAACAAAATAATTGAAGATCAAAATTTCAACTGGTGCCTTCAAATNAAGTTCTCAGCATGAAGTCGATTTGATACCTTACAGGTACCGGCATTGCCCTGTAATCGAGCACCATTGAAATGGACAGAGGACCAGCAGCTTCACCATCGACTATAAAGCCCATAAACAAGGGCGTCGTGCATAGAATTTGTGCTGGTCAAGTTATTTTGGACCTTTCCTCCGCCGTCAAGGAGTTGGTTGAGAACAGCTTGGACGCCGGCGCCACCAGCATCGAGGTTTCGCTCAAAGACTATGGCGCTGAATCCTTCCAGGTTATCGACAACGGTTGTGGCATCTCGCCTCACAATTTCAAGGTCTCTCTTTGCCGTTCTATTTTCTGCTCTTGTCCTAAATTTTTGTCACTCTCTCTTCCATTTGCTTGTTATTTGTGAATAAGCCAGTAAAATCGTGTTTTGTGTGTGTCTCTCTGTGTGTGTGTGTGTATTATGCATACAGACACCCACACTTATGCGGTTATGCCTGTATATGTGTATGTGTGTAGGCTTTCTCCATACTACTATCTATTTTCAATCAATTTGTGTCTTGTGTGTGTTTTGTGTGTCTTTATGTATATGTGTATATGTGTCATGTGTGTGTTTTGTGTGTGTTTATGTAAATGTGTGTGCCAGTGTGTGTAATTTTGTATCTATATGTGGNATAAGGGAGATTTTCCCACTTTAATGAAATTGATTTACTTCATCAAAAAAACCCTTTGCTTCTGGCAATTCTAAGTCGCATTTTGCTATAACCTTGGTGACCAAATCATCCATGTTAGGCTTCTTATATAATTTTTTCTTGTCAATATTTTTAATCTTAATAAGAGATTATAGGCATGACATCCTGTTGAAGAAGTATTTTTATGCTTTAGTTGTTTAAGTTATTTAAATTTTTTGTCTTTCTTGCACTCCTAGGCCTATGCTGTTATTTCTAAGGGAGTCAGAATAGTTTGCACCAACACAGCTGTAAGAAATGCAAAGTCTGTAGTTCTGAAGACTCAGGGAAGTGGATCCCTGAAAGATAACATCATAACAGTATTTGGTATGAGTACCTTTACTTGTCTGGAGCCTCTTAAAGTATGTACTTCTGATGGTTGCACAGTTGAAGGATTCATTTCCAAGCCTGGTTATGGTAGTGGACGCAATATAGGGGATCGACAATACTTTTTTGTGAATGGACGGCCAGTAGATATGCCAAAAGTTGGCAAGCTTGTCAATGAGTTGTACAGAGGTGCAAACTCTCGACAATATCCCATTGCAATCATGGACTTCACGATCCCACCCAGAGCATTTGATGTCAACGTAACTCCTGATAAAAGAAAAATATTTCTGTCCGATGAAGGCTCCATATTGCATTCTTTGAGAGAAGCTTTAGAGAAGATATACTCATCAAATCATGCTAGTTATGCTGTTAATAGTTTCCAAGAGGTTTTTGAAGAAAAACATACATCCACTCATTCCCAACTCGAGGCCTTTCAGTTTCAATCCAAGCAATTATTGTCAGATAGCGATGATACTCAGGAAGGTGACTGCATTGGGGAGCTACATAAAGATGGCCACTATCTCAAAAAACCTCTAAAGGAATTAAAAGATACTTCTGTCACGGGCATGTTAAATGATGGAAACAGGTCAACAGAGAAACACTTCAGTCTTCGATTCCATGGAAAGAAGAAAGACAATCGCAGTTCCAGAAGTCCCTGGAAGGAAGTCGGAGGTCTGATTACTGCTGATGGACAAGCACTCACCCCAGGATCAAAAGATAAAAGCTGTATCGATAATGCACATTATGTGGATCATGCAACCATTGTCCAGTCATCACTCACCAAATTTGTTACAGTAAATAAGAGAAAGCACGAGAGTATGGGTACTGCATTATCTGAGGTACCTCTCCTGAGAAATAGATCGACTGTATGTCCTTCAGGAGAAGACAATTATTTGAAGGATACGACATCCTTAAGATCTCCAGATAATCCAGTTAAGGCTGATAAGTGTGATGAATTAACCAGTGATAAGTCTGGATCTTCCAAGTTCACAAAGATAGATAGATTTCTTCATCAAGTGAAGCAGTCAAGAACGGACACAGTCCTTGATCAAACAAATAATTTAATTCGGCCTGGAAATAGTATACAAAATGGAAAATTTGAGGAGGTAAGAGAGAACTAGTAGATATTTCCTTTCTGAGTTTTTCTAACTATCCTTGCTTTGTTGGATTAGAATTATAGTTGCAACAGGAGACAATTTCAATTCATTCTCTATGCTATTTTTGTTAGTCCTTTTAGTTTTGAACCATTTCATTTTCAGGAGCATGAGGTTCAAATGAACGAGTTATGTGTGACTGAATCGGTGCTTGTTAATTCTACTTGCAACAACATTCACGATGTGTCAGAAAATATGGTAGATGCTGTTTCTTTTGAACAGCCTGCTAGTCTGACTTTGGATGCTCCTAAGGCTTCATCTGATTTAAAGATTGGTTCGACATTGCAATTTAGTGTGAACGACCTCATATCAAGAAGGAAGCAGAGACTGTCAAGATTGCAACTCCTTAATCGTACATCTCAAAGAATGAAAACAAAAATGTACTATACAGTAATTTCCTTTGACTTGGGAAAAGAGCTTTTGGTCTTTCAATTAGTTAAAAGAAATTCTTTAATGGCTTCAGTAGGGATTATGCTGCAGCTACCCTGGAGCTCACCGAATCAGAAAATGAAGTGGCCAAGGAAAAGGCTTTGATTGCTGCTACCAGTGAGCTGGAGAGACTTTTCAAGAAAGAAGATTTTACTAAAATGAAGGTCCAAAACTCATCCATTAGTATTCAAAAGCAAACCTGTATTATCATTTTAATCTGCCAATAAGTTTGTTTCCTGTTCTTGCTGGAAGGTAAGATTGTTTTAGGATCTCCATGGAGCATTCTTTTCTTTCATCCACACCCCTACCTTATTAGACCCCACCTCTAACAAAAAAATTTGCAGTTTTCTGATTTTTGTTTGCATCTGAATGTTTCAGTTAAATATTCCGTAGTTGGTTTGATTGAGGATATTGTGGCACTGGGGTGTTCTCACGCTGCATTGTTTTTTCCAGTCAATAGCACTTAGAAACGCCCCAATTGACATTCTTAGCATTCCTTGGTCCCAAATTGAATATGTCCACCTCTTTCTTCTGTGTCGTAAATAATATCATCTGCTTCTTTAAAGGTGTCAGTTCAAATCTTTTTCTTTTTTTCTTTGTTCGGATAAGGTACAGTTTAATTGTACCTTATAAACCCACTTCTTCACTCCGTAATGCAACTCTGAAGTGCAGTCTGAACATGTTCCCTCATTTAACGCTAGATAATACTCATTTTCAATTTCAGCTATTCTTTGTAAAATCAATCCAATCCAAGGCATGACAGGAGTCACTATTTGCATTTTGGAATTTGTCTGATCTCTTTTTCCTCTCTTTACACCATGAAACCTTCAGTGTTCTGACTTAAATTATTGTAACAGATTTGCTAGTCCATAATAAGTGATTTTTGTCGTCCTCTCTTGGATATGCTGATATAAACCTACTCTTTTGAACTTCTTAGTATTTGCAGAGCTGTTTTTGTGCTATATATCTGTAAAATGTGAGTTTTATTGCATGCTATTTGGTTGTCATACTTCCAACACTAAATGCGGTCAAGCACTAGTTTATTTACATGCAACTGGCAATCATTCCATGTCCGTGTTTACTTTTGTCATTAGTAGTTTAAGAAGAAATGCAGAGTTTTAGTATCAGCATTTGAAAATTCTCAACTTCAAAATTTGGTTATGCAGGTGATTGGGCAATTCAATCTTGGATTCATTATAGGCAGGTTGGATGAGGACCTTTTTATTATTGATCAGGTATTATTCCGTTGCTTTTGTATACTGACCTCTCTGTAGTAAAAGTAAATTAGTCTATCATTTGAGTTTGGTTTTTGAATGTTGCTTATGTGATTTGAATTGGATGATCTCTCTCTCTCTCTCTTTTTTTTCATTTTTCTTTGGTTGGTCAGCATGCTGCAGACGAGAAGTATAATTTTGAGCGTCTGTCACAGTCAACTATCTTGAATCAGCAACCTTTGCTTCGGTGAGGGTCTTCATTCTCCTGCTATGTGTTTTGTGTAAGATTGTTTTTAAGTTCATAATGGATCAAGATAGATGCAATCCCTCCAACACAATAGTAGCTGGAAAATGATGTGTTTTTATTAAGGTAAATCTATACTGATGTTACTTTACTCGACCAAAAGAATAAAGGGATTACCTTCTCTTTTTCCTTCTCAATAAGTCATTTTGCACGATAAAAATAGCAGCATAAATTTTAAAAGCAGGGACTGGGAGAAGACTTTATTTTTGTCCCTTGTGTTTTGTTTCTTTAATTGCTTCTAATGGGATTTGAGCTACTTTTACTCGAAGCGACTAAACAAGTTTACATGCCAAATCATATCTTGATGCTTCAATCTTAAAGTAGTAACTTGTTATCTGGTTTGAGTTGGTGCAGGATTTGGTGAATGATTTTGTGATTATCTCTGCTTTTATCTTTCATCCGTAATGTGGGAAGTCACTAGATGTTGAAACTCGGAACAACTAGTGGATTAATCAAAATATTCTCTTCTTGGTGTCATGGCTAGATAATCTGAAAAGTAAGATCAGTAGGCCCGTATGGTTGATGTATGTCATAAGTTGGCTCATGCAGATGCTAGGTCAAAGTTATAATCCTCGTAATTCATCTTTTCCATATTTCATGCTAAAGATGATAAATTAGCATTTATGTTGGCCTCTCAAAATTGAGTTCATATCCCTCAACTACATTTACATTCTCCGGCTTGAAAATTTTGGACATTTCTCACAAATATGCCCCCCTCCCCAAAGAAGGGAGTCCCAAGACTCTGTCTCTTTTATGAAGATATGGCCCTTGGAACTAACTCAACCCAAAAGCTAACTTATGAGGGGAGGATTGCCGAAGACCACAACCCATTCCCTCAACCATTGTGAGACTTAACACTCCCCCACACGCTCAGAACTCGACTGCAGGGTGAATTGGGGCCCAAGATTGAAAAACACAACAACAGGGACCGATGGGTCTAGCTCTGTTACCTTGTGATAATATGGCCCTTGGGCTAACTCACGAGGGAAGGATTGCCCAAGACCATATAAGGAGATCACAACCCATTCCCTCAACCAATGTGGGACGTAACAGCACTGTAGTGGTGCAAGTTCTCAAATTGACATGCTACTCCATTTGACATGTTGATCTATTGAGAGTCATGCAATCTGTTCGGAATATTGCAGGTGAAATTACATGTTTATAAGTTATTTATGCATGATGACTAGTTGCTCTGATTGCTGAACCTTTATCGTTCTCCCATATCATCTGTTTTGTCCTGGCAACAGGGATGGGTTATGGGTTGTAATTAATATCAGTTATCTTTGAAGGTGTAATGCTATATTCTATAGTAGAATTGTTGTGGATTGGAGCTGCTGTAAGTTGTAATATTTCTTTTCTGCATCCCTCGAGAACTTTTTATTCCTGGCTCCAAATGTAATTCTTTCTTTCTTGAATCTAGGCCCTTGAAGATGGAGTTATCGCCTGAAGAAGAAATAGTTATTTCCATCCACAATGATACTTTTAGGTGATTGAGAATCCTTATTGCTCTTGTTTATGGTGAATTCTTATTGGCATTTCTTTTCATCATTTGGTTGTGTTTCTGCCTGAAAGATCTGCAGTATGGTTATGTTCAACTTCTGAGGTTAAGATGACATGATTTCAACCTTTGCATGCTATCCTTAACTTTATCAACCTGTTTGAAAAGTCAAAAGCATGACTGCACTGATGCTTAAGCCAATCAGTCAGTTGT